AAGGACTGCCTGTATTCACCAATCATAGCCACATGAGGCTTTTTCAATAAGCCAGGCTTAAATAAATCATAATTAAATATATAGCCTCTATACCAAGCTTCACCCAGCATGTCCAAAGTAGACAGCAGGGGATTTATTTTTGATGAAAGTTGCAGGGATGAAATATATCCTTTAAGTCTTTGCATTTTGCTTCTAACCACTCCCCTTTTTGCAAATAATGCACTGAGGGGGGGCCTGGGAGTTTTGATCCCACCCACTCTGGGGCTGCTACATGGAGCCTGATTATTTACGCTCTTTGCATCCTTAGATTAGTGTAATGTGTGAATATTCATAATTCATTTTGTTCCAGGAAACTGGAGGCATATCAGGAAAGCAAAAGGCCTGACTCATATTAATTTATGTTACATTGTGATCTCATATTGGAATGGCATGCATTGCTATACCAAAGTTTTGGTGTTGCATTTCATTGTTTTGTATGGCACTTAGTTACAGACACATGAAAAATAAATCAATTTTGACCTCTTTATCACCGGATATTGTAAAGCACCATTTCTCAACCTTAGCAACTTTAAAATGTTTGGGTTCCCTAGGCAGCAATTTTGAGAACTGAAATCCAGACATCTTAGAAGCTGCTGAGGTTGAAAAATACTACTCTAGAGCCCAAATTATATTTCTTTTATCACAGTGACTCAAACACCGTCCACCAACAGACCAAGGCAATCTCATGCATGACATCATTGCAGAAATGACACCAATGATGATATTTGGATCATTTCCATACAGTATCACTTGCTCCTGGTCTTCTCCATGAACACCAATGAACTACAAACAGTCCTCAACGTATGACCATTTGTTTAGCAACTGTTTGAAATTATGACAGTGTTGAAAAAAGTGGCTTAGGACGATTCACCTTACCCTCACTCTAAGGTCATGTGATTGGAATTCTGGTGCTTCGTAACCTGTATGTATTTATGACGGTTGTATGGTCCCAGAGTCCTATGATCAATATTTGCAACTGTCCTGCAACCAAGTCAGTGGAGGAAGTTGGATTTGCTTAATGACTGTGGCAGAAAACTTGGGCAAGGTCATATGACAACTCACTTAATAACTTCATCACTTAGTGATGGAATTCCGGTCCCAATTCTGGTTGTAAATTGAGGACTACTTGTAGTTTACTATTCCACAACTACAGGTAGTCCCCGATTTACAACAGTTCACTTAGTGACCATTTGAAATTACAACGGCACTGAAAAAGGTGACTTATGTCCATTTTTCACACTTAACGACCATTGCAGCATCCCCAATGGTCATGTGATCGAAATTCAGATGCTTGGCAACTGGCTCGTATTTATGAAGGTTGCAATGTCCCGGGGCCATGTAATCCCCTTCTGACAAGCAAAGTCAGTGGGAAAAAAGATTCATTTAACAAACATGTTACTGAACAATTGTAGTGATTCGCAACTGTAGCAAGAAAGGTCATAAAATGGGGCAGAACTCACTTAACAAATGTCTCACTTAGCAATGGACATTTGGGGCTCAATTGTGATCGTAAGTCACGTACTACCTATACTTCTGTGAAATGGGTGGGATCCATAGCTTAATACAATGTAGGTCAGGGGTGTCAAACTCCTGGCCCATGGGCCGGATGCATCATGCGCTGGCCACCTCCACACCCCGGTTTTGTGAAGGGGAAAAAAGTTGTAATATGTCACGTGACGACACCATAATGACGCAAGTTTGACATCCCTGATCTAGGTCATTATGGGAAAAAAATTATGTAGACCCAGTGGTGGGATTCAAATAATTTAACAACCAGTTCTCTGCCCTAATGACCAGCTGGGTAGGTGTAGCTCAGTGGTCATGTGACTGTGGGCGTGGCCAATTCAATATCACTCACGTCTATTGGCGAAACGCCTTAGCTGTTACAATGTAAGAAGGGTTAACCAGAGAGGCAGTTTCTGTAAGCAGGGCAATAAAGAGTAGGCTAGAAACAACAGCAGAATGTTTCCTTCCTGCCTTCCTTACAGGATTAGCCCCGTAAAGTGGGAAAAAAACAAAATATGATTTCTTCTAACAACCAGTTTTCCCGAATAGGTGCGAACTGGCTGAATCCCACCAGTGTGTAGACCCCTTGCCATTAATGGTTGTAGTGGATAAGTAAGGATATCCATTAGGAACAATAGCTATATTTGTATGAACCACAGTGACAGTATCCATACAGCAGGTTACTCCATGCACAGCTAAGTCCCTTATGGCTGAATTCATAAACCGCATTGGCATGTGATTTGCTTACTTTTGGCTTAGCCATGGACTTGTAAATCATAGTTTATGATTTAATAGGTTGGGCCAAGACAGCCATTAAGACTTCTCAAGAGATCTGTAAAAAATCCCAGGAGGTCAGCATGACCTGATCTAGTTCTGCAGAATGTAGTATGTGCTACAAACAATACAACAATTCTTGGAAGGAATAAAATTGATTATAGGAAAGCAAATGGAATCGGACAGATTATTCTACTCTTCTTAATTTGTTTATTGCATTAGACTGGTCTTGGCTGACCTCAAAAAGCTAATTGTAGGTAGTCTTCAACTTAAGATCACAATTGGGCCAGAATTTCCTTGCTATGCACAGCAGTTGTTAGTCAGACATGCCCAATTCTACGTTGTTGTTTTTTTTGCAACAGTTGTTAAACAAATCACTACTGCTAGTAAGTGAATTATGTGGTTGTTAAGTGAATCTGCTTTCCTCCATTGACTCTGCTTATCAGAAGCCAGCTGGGAAGATCATAAATGAGGTTCATGTGATTGCAACCACTGTAAATATATACCAAGTGCCCAAATTTTGATCACATGATCTTGTGGGATGCTGTAAACATCGAAAGTTGAAACGAATTGTAAACCATTATTTTTCAGTGCCATTGTGACTTTGAACAATCACTAAACGAATCTGTAGAATCAGACTAGATTATTAATTGGATGAGGGACCATGAGGAGATCTCAGAGTTGCAGGCTATTTTTTATTTTATTTCATTTATTAAAAATATTTACCTAGCCACCCATTTTATATCTAATTCTGGTCAGCTCCTCCTTGGCTGGGAAGCTAAAAAGTATACTAAAATACAGTAAAGCAACAGTGACACACTTGGGATTTGTTCATTGTTCCTAAGAAAATTTCGTTTTATAAAATCACCAGGAGTGGAAGTGAACTCAAAGAAGATGTTAGCTGAGAATCAAACTCCTCCATTGTTCAGCAGGGGTGTCCAACCCTGAAAATTTTAAGACTTGTAGACTTCAATTCCCAGGATGTCCACGCAACATTCAAAGACTTGTGTAGAATTTTGAGAGTTGAAGTCCACAAATCTTAAACTTGGCAAGGCTGGACACCCCTACAGTTTTATTTTAAAAAGAAAACACCTTTTTCAGCGTGTGATTTTTAATGGGGTGGCAGGGAAGAGTTCCTAGCAGCCCATGTTAACACCCAACCTTCCAAGCTCTCTTCCAAAGCTCTTACAAACCGGGCATCGGGTTTAAATCTAAACACCCCCCCCCCACCCGCCTCTTTTGGGTGCATGGAGCCTTCATTCCATGATCCTCCGCCAAATAGATATAAGGAGGGCCTCAAGATCCTCAAATCTGGATAGTACCAGATCTGGGAAAGTGAAATCCAACCTCAACTTGGGGCTGAGATGTTCATCGCATTGGGGAGTGGGTGGGTCAAAGGAAGGTGAGAAGACACGGAGAGGAGGAGGCAGCCCTTCCCCCTTTCATGGCTCGCCCTCTGCCCACATCTGGGCGATGTAGCCGAGCGCGTGCAAAGCCCGACTTTGCGCCGCGGTTTACCCAACGTCCACCGGCGACTGGCTTGGCTGTAGCTGATCCCGCTTTCTCTCAAGCCCCCCCCCCCCCCCCCCGGGCAGCCTCGTCTCGCTGTTTCCTCAACCCTGCAGGCGCCTTCCGCCCCCTCCCCTCGCCGGAGCAACGCCCCCAACCCAACCCCCGGCGACTTCGCCCGCTTCCTCGCCAGACGCGCAGCGCGCATTCCCAAAGACGCCCCCTCGCTTTGTTTCTTTCTTTCCTTCCCCCACCGGGAGGAGACCCGGACGCCCACTCCCCCCTGGTTTCTATCTTCCAGGCTCGCCATCCCCTTAGGACTCCCTCCCCACATCTCAGACTCCCCCTCCCCCTCCCCCTCTCTCGACAGCTTCCCTCCTCACTTTCGCTGAGCAAGACGCGCCGCCGCCGCCTGGCACGCAACCCTTTCCACACGCGCGTACCTCCCCACTGCCCCGTCCGCCGTATCTCCACGCGCGTATAACATCCACATGACAGTACTTGAATGCACGAGTAAGGAACCCGCAACCATACACACGCACAGTTTTTCTTCTCAAGAATTCATCAGCATTGGTGAGAGTTCAGTGACAAGAGGAAGCTTCGTCTAGATCTGGAATGCACGTACACATTTTGCCACATTTTTCCCTCCTTTTCAGATTTAAATAAAGTGACAGTGCTCTCTATCCCCACCCCCAATATCTCACAATAGTATTTTCCCTACCCCTTCAATTTTCCAGTGATTATATAGTTTGCAAGGATACTCACCGTTGGTTATGGGCTTCAGATCCAATCCACATCCCAAAAGATGACCCTGTTTTGCTCCCAACTGCTCCAGAGCCTTAACTTCCTGGGGGGAGGGGGAGGCAGGAGCCAATTTACAAATGACCCCCCCCCCTTCAGCCTTCAAAAGAATCTCTACACGATTTGTCCTTTTAAATGCAAACTTTGCTCAGGCACACCCCAAAACATAAAATATTAGAAGGTACAGCAATTTTCATGTTACAAAATTATTAATATTTAGGGAAGGGGGGGAAGGGAGGAGAGAAAATCCTGAAAAACCCAAATTTCAGAAAAAAGCCAGTCTAAGAGTGATGAAACTCACTTCCTGGCTGATTATGATAAGAAGGAAGAAAATGCAGCATGGAATGAAGGAAAGCAAAAAAGGAAGGTACCTTGTTAGGATGGTTTTTGTCCCCAGCTTCTGAAATTCTCCAATCCTAACTCTCTAGAAGTTTATTTGCATTCTCCAAAAGATGCTGAGAATGATCTTAAATCAGAATACAGTTTAATTTGTTCGGCTGTCTGCTACTGCATCCCAGATGGGAGAAAATCCTGGATTTTTATGCTTTCTTGTTTAAAAAGTCTTCCTGCCTTTGTCTCCAGCTCTTAGCCTCTCTGGTTGTGTTTGAAAGAGTTCCATCTGAATTCCCCACCCACCTCCATCTCTTTCGCTCTCTTCCCCCCAAACCTTTTTCCGCTGTTTCTTACATTCATACCATTAGTTGTGCAAAGCATAACTTCTCCGTTTATTCACGCTCTGCAGGGGATCAAATACCACCCCTCCGATTTTCTACACGGTCCTAAAGAAAGCAGAATTACAGCAGGAAAACTCCATAAACTCAGGAGGCCCCGACCAATGCGGCTTTTAGAAAAGGCCAAAATTGTAGACCTGCGACCCTTGAAGGATGAGATGGGACAGCGAAACTGGGAGAGTGAGGGGCTGGCAGAAACCGTGAGATGTGAGATGATAAATGATGCGACACTTCTGTATTTATTAATAAGATCGACACTCCACTGCACTCCGAATCTCAAGGCGAATTACAGGTAGCTCTTGACCTTCAAGCACAATTGACCCCTCAAATTTCTATGGTTAAGCAAGGCTATTATTCAGTGAGCTGTGCCCCACTCTACAACCCTTTTTGCCACTGTTGTTAAGCAAATCACTGCAGTTGTTAAGTGAATGGTTGTTAAGCGAACCTGGTTTCACCCGTTGGCTCTGCTTATCGGAAACCGGTTGGGAACGCCGCCAAGGGGCATCACGTGAGCCTGAGACAGTGCGATTGTCATGAATACATGTCAGTTGCCAAGTGCCTGGATTTTGATCACACAAGCGTGGGGCTGCTGCAACAGTCATAAGTGCGAAAACTGGTCATAAATCACTTTCTTCAGGGCTGATGCAACTTCAAATTGTCACTAAATGAATGCTGTATGTCGAGGACAACCTTTGCAGAGATCTCCACAGGAATGGGCCAAAAAATCAAGGTGGCCTCTACAACAAAGCAACCAAAGCCCCATCTTTTTCTGCAAATATTGTGGTACATGTAGGAATGGATTGGGACTTTGGCTGCAGAATTGTGACACCCATTTTCTTCTTTGATCTCCTCCCAACACCCTTGGAGAAAAAAATCTCTGCTTTAAAATCGTTCCCATCACAGCAATCCTGTGAGGTAGACTGAACCCAGAGTCATCTAATGAGTTTCTATGAGTAAGAGTGGATTTGAATCTGGGTTCACACACCACAACATGCTCAGGTATGGTTTGCAAATGATGCTGGTGAAGATCAGAAAACACACTTTGGCTTATGGCGGTCCAGTCTGCACCAAGGAAACTTAAGAAACAAAAAACAAATTATGGGATGCTTAAGATCAGAAGGTATTAAATCCATGACAGATTATTTCACCAACTGATTTAGTAGTGATGCTGAACCCAGGAATCTGGAACATATATTGCACTAAACTTAAGATGGCCAAATCTAGGCTGAAAATATTTGAAGAATCTCTAGGGGGCAGCAAAGATCATTTCATTATGTTTTTGCTGCCACCTAGTGACCTAGAGTTTGGTGGCACATATTTATAAATAGTCCTTACTTTTGATCACAATCCAAACCAGTATTTCCAACTTTAAGCAAGGAAGGCAGTGAATCACTCTCGATTTTACAATCATTTTTTGCCATGGTTGTTCAGCAAATAACTGCATGTATTAAGTGAATCATATGGTTGTTAAGTGAGTCCGGTTTTCTCTATTGACTTTGCTTGTCAGAAGCCAGAAAGGAAAGTCGCAAATGGTGATCACATGACCCCAGGATGCTGCAACCATTTCAAATTGCCAGTTGCCGAGTGCTGGAATTTTGATCACAGAACTGTGGGAATGCTGCAAAGATCATAAATGTGAGGATTATTCATAAGTCACATTTTTCAACACCATTGTAATGTCAATTGGTTGTAAGTTGAGAAGTACCTATGGAAACCCTACATTAAGCCATTATTTGCTTTATTGTAGGCTTTTTTTCAATCAAACTACCTTACTCTTATATCTGTAGTGGTCTGAATGATACATTTAAAGCTTTGTTTGGTGCTATAATCACATATGCATGGACATGGCTGCAGGAAACAGCTGAAAGATGTTAAGCTAAGTTAGCGCGCAGGACTAGTTAAAGGCACATGTCCTTGGTTAGCTTCCCTTGGGGACCCTGCTATAGTTCTAACAAAATCTGCTGAAAAGGCTACCAGGATCTTAGTCCTGTTTTGGTGATGTCCTCAGAGTAGGTCAAGAAGTTGAATCAACAGCCTGGATGGTAGAATCAAACCTTTCCCCAGTCTTTATTTGCACCATGCCCATAAACCAGGCAAAGCTTCAACTGTACCATCATGGCCACCCCTGCCCCATTTTCTCTCTGTGAAAAATGCAGGGTCAGGAGAATATGGTAGTGAAGTTAGATCTATCTCTCTTATGGCAGATCAGGAATGCATCCAGTCAGTGAGTCAGGAAAAGTGTGTCATAGGTTCATGCATCCTGCCAGTTATGTGTTATAATATATTTCACAAGAGGCAGAAATTTTGGGGACAGGCCATTTCTTTCAGCCTCCCTGAAATCTGGTGGCTAACTATCACTGATAGCTCCTTATGCCAATCTTCCTTCAAGTTTTCTAATAGGATGTTCTCCAAATGTCTTCAGACTACAACTCCCAAGACAGCCAGTTTGGGAGAGCAGCTAATGTACTAGCCTAGAAAACAGGAGATAATGAGTCTAATCCAGCTTTAGGCATGTAAGAAGTTAGCACCTACCCCTCTTCTAGGAAAATGAAATATTCTAGGAAATATAAAAAAGGCAGAATATTATATTTTTCCTAAAGGAGAAACATGTTTCTAAAGACAAACTCAGAGCCTCAGCTCCCTGCCCACCCACCCCCAGCAGATATTTTGGTTATTTACAAGACAAAAGGCTGGGCCAGCTTATCTACAACACAAAAGACCTGGCCCTCAGGACATGATAGGATTAGCCCTCACTCAAGATCCAAACCAGGACAAAGCCATTAAGCCATAATAGGAATTGCCCAAAGCCCCTTCATTACATCATCACCTAGCAAGATTCAGCCTGGTCTAGGACTCCAGACAACCTACAAAGTTACTCCTGCATGGCCCCATGGAGACTCCAGCTGATCTAGAATGCAGCCACACGGGTTGTTACGGGAGCCCCTCGTTACTCCCATATAACACCCCTCCTGCGTGAGCTGCACTGGTTACCAGTGGTTCTCCGGGTCCGCTTCAAGGTGCTGGTTCTCACCTATAAGGCCCTACATGACTTAGGTCCCAGATATTTGCAGGACCTTCTCCTGCCTGCCTCTCACCGTCCTGTTCGCTCACATAGGGCTGCTCTCCTCAGGGTTCCAACGGCGAGCCAATGTTGTCTTGCTGTGCCCAGGGGTAGGGCGTTCTCTGTGGGTGCTCCCACCCTCTGGAATGAATTACCTACCGAGCTCCGGACGGCTCCTGATCTCCGTTCCTTCCGTCGGGACCTGAAGACTTGGCTGTTCAAACAAATAGGCTGACTCTGATTCCGGGTTTTATTATTTACTATTAATTAGTTATTTGGTTTAAAATGGGATTTTATTGTACTTGTTTCTTAACTTGTGTTCACCGCCCTGAGTCCTTCGGGAGAATGGTGGCATATAAATACATGTAATAAATAAATAAATAAATCTCTCACCCATGTGCTCTTTTTTGCCCAGGACTCAAACTATGTGGTCCTGTCCACCATTAAACCATCTTTCCAAGCAGTCTCCATGTTTCCAGTGTCTTTCTTCCCATTTGGAACTGAATCCAGATGGACATTTCTTCCAACAGGCATGAAAACCAGCTTTTAACTTTGAGCCAATCACCAGGAGACTGTGAGTTAGAGTTCCATTTTAGGCATGAAAGAGACTGGGTGACTTTGGACCAATCACTAGGAGACCCGTGAGCTCTAGTCCTGCCTTAGGCATAAAAGTGGCTGCTTAACTTTGGGCCAATCACCAGGAGACAGTGAATTGTAGTTCAGTCTTAGGCATGAAAGCCTTCTGGGTGACTTTGAGCCAATCACTCTTTCCTAGCCGAATCCATCTCACAGGATTGTTGTTATGGAGAAAAGAGGAGGAGGAAGAAGTACTATGTATGATTGCCATCTTGACTTACTTATACATGAATAAAGATAGGATAAAATATAACAAATAAATAAATAAAAAACTGAGAACTATTGTCCCTGAACAACGTCTGGAAGGCGCTGGGATGTGGAAGGGAGATAAATAGGATAAGGACAGCAGATAGCAGTTCTTGGTTGACTCAGAGTTCAGAAGCTGAGCACATCTGAGCAAACATAGTCACTTAGGCTGGTTCATTAACAGAGCCATTGTTTGCTCTATTATTGAATAACCTACAATTGACAGAGTTAAAGCTTAAATAAATCAAATCAAGTCCTTTCGGTGGCATTGCCTACACTATGGAGCATCACATCTCTCCAAATCAAGTCAGCCGTGATTTGACTAGCATTTGGGAAAGCCTTAAAAACATGACTGTTTTCCTGGGTATGGTAGTTGGGAAGTTAATGGCACCTTGACATAGGTGCCCTATTAGTGCTTGTTAATGCCATTGAGTGCCACTGTGTTTTTATTGTTATTGGTTGTTTTTCGTCGAGTTTTCATTGAGTTTTAATTTAGGCCCCAATTGGGCCCCACATTTCTGTTGCTAAGAGAGACATTTGTTAAATGAATTTTGCCCCATTTTACGACCTTTCTTGCCACAATTGTTAAATGGATCATGCAGCTATTAAATTAGTAACATGGTTGTTAATTGAATCTGGCTGAGGACCTGTATACTGCACGAGTTAAAAAGAGGGCTGTGAAAATATTTACAGACCCCTCACATCCTGGACATAAATTGTTTCAACTCCTACCCTCAAAACGACGCTATAGAGCACTGTATACAAGAACAACTAGACACAAAAACAGTTTTTCCCTCAACGTCATCACTCTGCTAAACAAATAATTCCCTCAATACTGTCAAACTATTCACTAAATCTGCACTAGTATTAATCTTCTCATCGTTCCCACCACCCATCTCCTTCACTTATGACTGTATGACTGTAATTTTGTTGCTTGCATCCTTACGATTTATATTGATATTGTTTCCTGATTGCTTATTTGTACCCTATGACTATCATTAAGTGTTGCA